GGCTTCCGTTCCAGCGAGCCACCCGCCCTTCCAGCAAAAACCACCAAACTCGTCCTCGCAAAATGTCCGGGAACTTTGGGTGCGAGCTGAAGGGTCCATTAACCCCAAGTCTGACTCACCGAGCCCATCGTATGTCTTTGGCCTCGGGCCCGTGGCATAGGCCTGGCGAAGCTTCGGAGTTGAAGCTCTGGTTACTTTTGGCCAATCGGACTCGCCACCCAACCTCCACAAACCTCCACACCTCACCAGACCAACCAACCCAAAAAAGCGAGAAGATGGATCAACTTTTTAGCTTCCCTCTTTGGACCGTATGGACCGCTTTGAAACTCTACCCCATTGAGGGTTGGTCTATTTGGGTAGGTTCGGAGCAATCCCATTGTGGGATGACAATGAAACACAAATCTATGGCCAAAAGCAGTTTGGCGGGGCGTGGTACATGCTTAGTGCCTGTAGTTTGGAACTAGCCTGGCGATGCCATGATGCCATAGCAGACAAACACATCGTGGAGTATTGGCCAATCCAAATCCTCCTAGGGAAACCGCTGCAGCCTACAAAATCCCCTTACTGTACCAGAAGTCCCCATCATGCGCACGCCTGGCTGGCCGCTCAGGGGAAATTTGCGCGGGGCCCCCTAAACGGGCCTTCTACCACTGGGCTTGGGCCTCAGGGATCAGGCAACCAGATCCACTTGCGTGGAGGGGCAGAACCATGATGCTTAATCTGGAGTAAAAACTCCAAGTAAAAAAATCCCGAAAAGGGAGAGCTCAGAGCGCAACAGGGCGGGCGTTTCCTCGTCACCAGCTGGGGAGTTGTCTTTGGGTGCTTGAGGAAAGTGCAAAACCATGTCAATCAGAACGGGTCAGCAAATTACTAATTCGAAGGACGTCTCATGTTTGCAGCGTTTCTGGCAAATTGAAGGGAAAACGATCAGTGACTTCTTAAAAATGATACTCTTCAACGATCCCTTGCAAAATGCTGAAACTTGGATAACGCCAAACTGCTCAACTGAAATGGAATGGATCTACGTGTTTAACAAGTACGTTTGAGCGCGGCTCAAATGCCCAATCGAACTAATATGTCTCCATCATTCTACCTGTACAACAGTCATGATTCAAGGGAAACCACCAAAACCAGTTTCAGAAATGGTCAAAAGGATGAACCCCGTGATAGAGCACCATCGAGCCCATCCCCCCAACATGCCGCAAATCGATATGAATCGGCCATGGAAGACCGACGCACGAAAGCACAGCTGGCATGCGCCATAAAGACTTCATGCACCAAACAGAAATCGAAAGTGACCCCACCCTCCCCAAGATCAATCTCAGACGTATCCTGAAAACACACGGCCATGGGTCAAAATCCAAATCGTACCCCCTGTGAACATCCCAGTCCCCACTATAGACTAAAATGCGTGGTGCACCTTCCCCAAAAATGGGATCCCATTGGTTTGGACCCACAGCCACACGTCTTTCGACTGAACGAGTTCGAGCTGTCGGCTTCCCGGTTCCGCGCCGGGCCGAGCCATCTGAGAAAGCTGGCGCGGAGCACGGACAGCGACAGGGCCTCGAGCTGCACTGAGCTTGGGCATGGTGCTGGGACCCTCAAAGTATCCGTGCAAAAGCTATTGCCCCAAATTACGAGCTGTTGTTGTTTTTTCGGGGTAGTTGGGTTCAAGGAATCTTTCTTTGAGGATACCCTCCTGTCCACTGACATAGCACCAACGTTATTAAAACACTGGGCTGCCCTCAGATCCCCCGCTAAAAGTGAATAACTTGTAGTGGGTTGAATGGAAACTACCGCTAAACACTAACAGGCTAAAAAGCAAAGGGGATGGCTGGGAGCCACCAAGAAAAGGTTTTGGGGGTTGTTGTTTCTTCTCGTTCTAGGTTGTTATAACCAAAGTATGAGGTGTTGTTTCTTTTGTTGGGTAGTTTGAGGGTTCAGGGGCATCTTTCGTTGAGGATACCCTCCTGTCCAACCGATCAAAGGGTCCCTTTTAAAGGAATATCGTCTTGCAGCCCTCAGACAGGTTCCATGATGTTCCATGTTAGTGGGCCTGAAGGTACCCTTTTGGAGCAAAATCGCGCAAAAAATCACGCGGAACTGTGCGGAAACTGTGCGGGAATTGTACGGGAATTACGTGGAACTACTCGGGAACTGAGCGGACTAAGCGAGGATAAAGCGAACACTATGCGGGCGGGAAATATGCATCAACTCGGAAAAAAATACGCGGGAATTATGCGGGCATTCAGCGGGAATTGGGCGGAAATTGTACGGAGTTCTAGTCGCTGATCTATGGCGCTAATCTCTGCCTTTTCCTATCCTTTTTCCTGCCTTTTCATTTCCCTTTCTGCCTTGTTCTTCCCTTTTTGCTTGCCTATTCATTTCCTTTTCATGCCTTGTCCTTTCCTGTCTCCTGTTCCTATCCTTTTCATGTCTTGTCGTTTCCTTCTTCCTGCCTGGTCCTTTCCTTTTCATGCCCTTTCCTTTCCTTCTTCCTGCCTGGTCCGTTCCCTTTTAAAGACTTTTTCTGCCTATTCCTTTGCCTGTTCCTGCCTTTGTTCTTCTTTGTTTCCTGCCCTTGTTCCTGCTTCTTGTCACATTAAGTGTTTTTTTTTAATCGCCGATTGCCAGTTGTCAGAGTATAAATCTGGGTGATTCATAATATTTCACCAACCTGAAATAAAGTGGTTGGGGGGCTACTCCCCACATAAACCAGCCATTTGGGGGGAATTCGGTCGTGAGAGGTCCTTATAATTCACCCAGACTAATTTCTTAAGCGGTGTTTGGCCAACATCCCAGCCAGAACACGGCCAGCACCGTTCCGGAGCGAGACCGCGGCCGCGAAGTGGCAGGGAACGTTGGCCGGAACGAACAGCTTGAGCCAAATACCGTGTTGGGTAATGGCCCATTAAGCTACAACAGAAAGAGGAAAGTACAAAAAAAAGAAAGTACATGCCCATATAAACAAACACACAACATACGGTGTATATATGCATGTATAAACAGTTTCTATTGATTTAGTATTAAGCAGTATCGATGGAGTATTGCCAGGGCTCCGGATCACGCTTGTTGTTTTCTTCTCACCGCGGACGGGCAGCGATACCTTTCCCACGGCAAACAAGAAACTAGAAAGAAAAGCCTTTGCAATTCCTCCCGCTTTGTCTTTGCAGGTTGGGGAATAAGCTTGGGAAGGCTTCTCATGCCCTGGCCATTTACCAAGCGCGGCCCGGCAACGAGAAAGCCAAGTTCTGCGGGGGCCCTAAGACCAAGATGTTCCGATGGAATGACATGTGGGTGTGACCTTTCTTTAGTGGTGCCCCTTTTCGGTGGGTTTTAAAGGTAAACCAAAGGAAAACCGCCATTTGAAGGGCCCCTACAAAAAACGAAACACCCATACTGAGATTTTCAAGTTGGCATTTTCAAACACAGGGGGTACAGGGATTGGAGATGGATGCTATACAAGCAGCTACCTCACCTCCAAAACCGTTACCTGGAAATGCCAACTTGAAATCAGTTTTGTGGGTTCCACTTTTCTCAAGGATCCGCACGGGATTCGCCTTTTTCAGCTCCAGTCGAATCTCAAGGGTTGAAGCACGGTTGAACCGCATGCGAGCACCACCTTTGCAACAAGTCTCAGCTTCCCCTCTCTTGGTGGTTCGGTGGTTACGTTTGGGGGGTACCCTCCACCAATGAAGGGGTGCCTGATCAACAAGTCCCTTCTTTTGTGAACAACAAGGGGCTGTAGATTGAATCGACACACCAACCATGCTCTCAACCCTCGTTTCAAGTGGTTGAATTCGCCGCTATGTCGATCAACACGCGGGCGAGGGGTGAGCTGCATGGACATTTCAGCCATCATACCTGCAGCAACGTTTGCCGGTCAGAAAACAAACAAGTTACTCTGGGATCGCTTGCCACAAACAGAAACAAACAAGAACAAATCTTACCGACCACATCCGAGACACTCACCTTCCTCTTCATCAAACTCGCCTTCCTCCTCTGCCGTAGCATCCTGGTACTGCTGGTACTCGGAGACCAGGTCGTTCATGTTGGACTCCGCCTCAGTAAACTCCATCTCGTCCATGCCCTCACCGGTGTACCAGTGCAAGAAGGCCTTGCGCCGGAACATGGCGGTGAAGTACTCCGCCACGCGCTTGAACATCTCCTGCGGAACTGGATAGCTATAGTCTATAGTGGCACATGAAAGCACTCAGCACCCGCGAAGGAAACATGCACTCGATTCCATCTTGCGTATCTTGGCCAGCATCTGTACACAGAAAGTAAGGTTTTACAACTCTGTTCATCTTTAGTCCACTCCCAACTATATGGGCTTTACTTTTGAGGCTACCTTTTCAAGGCTTTTGTTTTTCTCTCCCCGGAAAAAAACAAAGCAACAGGGAGCCACTTCTTCCTGGGCTCCCCCGGCTTTTGTTGACGTAACGGATGCGTCCGGATGCTTCTCCTGGATGGCCGTGGAGTTACCCGCAAAGGCCACCGCCATCTTCAGGCCCTTCGGGGGGATGTCGCAGACCGAGGCCTTGATGTTGTTGGGGATCCACTCCACAAAGTACCTGTCACACAAAAAAGCCGCAAAACACGCGGCAAGGCTTAGATTGTTGGCTGACGGGAAGAAAGGCAGCACAACCACTTGGGAGAAAGAACAACTTAAGATCCACTCCACGAAGTACCTCGCAAAAAAAAAAAAAAAAAAACGCCGCGGAGGCAAACATCCGGCTGTGGGACAAAAATAGGGTAACCCCAAAACGGAACCCTGGTAAATGGAACCAATTACTCAAACCGCCGGTTTTCTGACGGTGTACTGGTTGAATAGTACCTGTCACACACACACAAAAGCCGCAAAAACGCGGCAAGGCTCAAAAAGTGGTGGCGAACGGACGGGAAAAAAGGCAGCACAAGAACTTGAGAGAAAGAACAACTTAAGATCCACTCCACAAAGTAGCTCGCAAAAAAAAGCAGGCGAGGCAAAAATCCGGCAACCCCAATTCGGGGGTTTGTTGTTTGGGCCTGTTTTGGGGGATTGGATTGTCATGGCTGATGGTTCACAAAGTACCTGGATCTCAAACTTCGATTCGGCGCCCCGAGTGGAGCATTTGACCGTGGGGTGAAAAAACGGGTATCCAACATGGCAAAATGTCAAATGGAAACGAGAACTACAACCTGCAGGGCGATTCGCCGTGGTGTATTTCTGAGCCCTACATGGGGAATTGTGCAACCACCAATCGCTTTTCAGCAGCTTCCGACTCTAACACTCGTAGCCACCTGTCACAGTCGAACTTGCTTGGGGGCGAAACGACTTGGGCAAGCAAAGAAGCCGGGACAGCAAAGCGGGAAAGGCGGCATGTTGTAGTCTACCGTCTCCCCTGTACATGCCGCGTATACGCGGGCAAACGGAAACTTGTGGCACAACATCCAACAACCAGAAAGCAAAACCAAAGTCTGCGCGTAAGAATAACTTAGACCAATTCTGGCTTGCTCACTTGCTGCTGGATGAAAATATGAAGAATATCTAGCAGGCGCTGGGAAGCTTGAAGTAACTTTCTGCACACTCAGACTTGAAAATGGCTGCAGCTCTTGACAGCAATATCTAGCTTCTAGCTATCACTAAACGTGGGTAACCAGAATTGCTTCCTTGTAGGATTTACTGGATGGTTTCCCCTTGTTACCTCCCAGACTGGCTTGCCTGGAAGCACTGGGAAAGCAGACTGATTTGGTTCAGGGCACGATGAGTTCTTGTTCTGAACGTTAAGCATCTGCTCATCGACCTCCTTTGTAGACATTCGGCCGCGGAACAAGGCTGCCGCGGTCAAGTAGCGACCATGGCGGGGATCGGCTGCGCACATCATGTTCTTAGCGTCGAACCTGGTCGGCCACTCACAAGAGAGGCCGACTGCATCTCAACAGGAGGGTGCATCCTTGTGTTGGGGTACCTTTCTTGAGTTGGATTGAAGGGAAATCAGACGAAACCCACCACTTTCGCGTGTCCCCTATTCTAGAGACAATCCCTGCTTGCGACTTGAAAGACAAGCATGGCTTGCGACTGATTGTCAAGGAACATCTGCTGGGTCAACTCCGGCACGGTGAGGGCTCGATACTGCTGCGAACCGCGAGAGGTCAGCGGGGCGAAGCCTGTCATGAAGAAGTGCAGCCGGGGGAAGGGCACAAGGTTCACCGCGATCTTGCGCAGGTCGCAATTCAGCTGCCCCGGGAAGCGCAAACAACAAGTAACTCCAGACATTGCTGCGGAGACCAAGTGGTTCAGGTCGCCGTAGGTCGGTGTTGTCAGCTTCAATGTGCGGAAGCAAATGTCGTACCTGCGTCAAACTTCGGCCCCCTGCACAACGCTGTTTGCTCGACAGAGAAACTGAAGGCAATCCAAAAAGATCCTTTAGGTCAAAAAGGTTAGCTAAGTCTGGCAGATTCGCAATGCTTCGTTGTCCAGCAAGAAGGACTCGTCAGAGTTCTCAACCAATTGATGGAAGCTCAAAACTGCATTGTAGGGCTCAACCACGGTGTCCGACACTTTCGGAGATGGAATCACCGAGAACGTCTCCATAATGCCTCAGAATCCCAAACTAGCTTGCTTTAGAGGTATGTGGGGCCTCATGTATCGCAATGGGGGGCCCAAAAATGATGGTATCCTTTTGGCTTCCTTTTAGGCAAAGGCTAGTCAGCAGTCTGCACGGTGTCAACCTTGTCTAGGCCGCTCCTCGTAATACATGCAAGATTGCACTGCGGATGAGAACTCCCATGCGCTGGCTTGTGTTTGCTACAACAAACACAGTACAATCCCCCGGGCTTCAACAAACAAACCACAGATGTGACATGGTCAAAAGTCTTGATGTGGGTTATATGATTATTGTGTTTCTTTCAATGGAATCATGCTAATAGTTATCAAGGATTCTTACCACCAGGTGGATGACCATCCCAACGCTACCAAGTAAAGGACCCGGCGGATTTCACCATTGCACAAATGGTTGCAACTGACATAGTGACAACTCACCACGGAAACCACGCCGCATGGCTTAAAGCCCTCTGAACTCCAGAAACACGCTTTGCGCTTGCTTGCAGTCTGGCGACGATCCGGGTATTCCTCACGGACCTGGGCAGCGAGCAAAGATCTGCATCTGATTGATGGCTTCCAGTACCCCCAAACCCTTCCTCACAGTTGAGAGGATTGGCGCGAACAAATCTGTGAACTTTTACTTGCCACTCTAAAGTCATCTTTCCGAACAGTGACTAAAGTCAAGGCGCTCAGGAAGTGAGAAACCAGTGGCTAGGTGGTGGCAGGTGGAAAACCGCTGGTGCGAAATCTAGGGGGTGTTCCAATGAACCCCAGTGAGATAAGGGGTGTGGGGTTGCTGGACACCATGAAACCGCACCTAGAATGCATTCCCAGTGCCAATCCCCTGCGAACCACAAGGAGCCCAAACCGCCAGAACTTATGCTGCCTAGCTTCTCCTTTGGCTTCCTGCAAAACTATTCAAAACTGACAGCCACAAAAAGGGCATCGTAAACAAGGCTTTCCTTTAGGGTTCATAGATTCATAGCTGTATACCTCAAGTTCCTCGTGGAATCCCCTTTTACGGGATCCCATCGTGCCAAATCACTGGAAGCACTTGGGTGGGCATACTGCTTGCGTCCCCCGGACGACACACGACGTGCTTGAAAGCATGCAGCAACAAACCCATCTTCTTGATTCAATAGCACCAGCGAGAAGACCAAAGGGAAACCACAATGTTGGTGGGGTCTAGTTGGAGACACACCCAAATGGAATTCGGAGCTCCTTTTGGTGATCTTTGGAGTTGGTACCCTTTTCAGGTGTTTTGGGGTCCGAGTCCTATGTAAAAAGACTTTTGGGCCCATGAAATCACTATCAAACTCCCCCCGCGAAGTGCTAGGATAAAAGGACACCACCCCAGTTTCTGACTTTAACCCCCAGAAACCGTCCACACAATTCCGACCTCCAAAACAAAGAGAAGCCCCCCCCCCCCCCAGTTTGTTTACCTCCCCCCCCCACCAAAAAAAAGGGGTAACACATGACCCCAAACAGACACACACACACACACACAAAAAAAAAAGCCGCGGCCCCGCGACCCCGCGACTCCATCGCCGCCCGAAGCGAAGCGAAGCCGCGCCTTGGAGATCAGCAGCGTGCCCATGCCCGCCCCAGTGCCGCCCCCGAGGGAGTGGCAGAGCTGAAAGCCCTGCAGGCAGTCGCAGCCCTCCGCCTCCTTTCGCACCACGTCCTCGGCTCGGCGTCTCGGCTTTTGGCCGAAGAAACACAACTAGGTCCTACAGAATTGAAAGGTTAGAATAAGGGTACACGATTTTATTCTGTAGTCTATTTTAGTAGGGAACCCTCCCAAAAAAAAAAGGTAAAAGGGCGCTACAGGGGGACTTGGAAGGAAGCTCTCGAAATACAGGTTGCCAAAGATCAGTTTCAACTAGTGACCTGAAGAGTAGACAAAGCAGATCCGGAACCATACCTTTTTGGGGGTTGATCAGATTCAATATCATTCTCGAACATTTGGTGGGTCCGAACTCTACCAAACCAAGGAGAGGTTTACAGGCCAAAGCTTGCGGCAAAACGACTTGGCCGGACATCTTTGTTGATTGGCAAAACATGTCAGACTAGAATGCTAAAGAAACCCAGCGGCGAACTGTTTATCCTTTGGAAACTGAACCGGTAAGACAACACACCCAGAATGTCATCTGGGCATGATAGCTAGCCTCGGACTTTTGCTTACCTATGCTCAAGTACCCGCAGTGGTTCCATCTGGCGTGGCAGGTAACCTAGAGAAGAGCCCTGTAAAATCTAGAGGGGCAAGGATGTTGCTTGCTGCGCTGGGATCAACTGGAGTTCCATACGGCTTTCAATTGGCACAAAGGAACATCCCAGGTACTTGGACTCTATGGGGGGGGGGCGCAACGGGTCTAACACGGGGGTGTCATGTTTCGCCGAGCACGCGCGCTTTTTGTTATTTACCCCTTGAACAACAAAGTTTGAAAGTGGATCCTTTCTTTGGAGTGGATCGCCTTGTTCCTGGCGAAGAAGCCCTGAAAAGGGCGCTTCTCAAAACGTGCCCTAGGATACCCGAAGTTTATTGTTTGGGCTTATCGGTTTCGGCTTCCCCTTTTCACCCCTGAGAAACCATAAACGGCGCAAAAGGTGTGTCTTGTGGTAGGCATTTCGGGATTGGTTGATTTGGCGGATCTGCCCCTACCAGGTCCGTGATTTTGAGGAAAGCCAATGTCCGGTTCAATTGGTTCAGGAAAGCAAGGAATGTGATAATTTGAAGGGGACAGGAACGCATGACAAAGTTGCAGAATGGCATGACAAAATGAAAAGAGATGGCAGAATTACAGGATTACCAGATTGCAATACTTGCTGACAAGAGGAAATCAGTACAAGATGCCAAAAGACAACATGACAGGATAGCACAATGCACCGATGAACGGACAGCGCGATGACAAGATACCTTGAGGCAAGGCTACATGATGACGACATGGACAAATCACAGGATTGCAGAACAACATCATGGCATCATCATGGCGTGACCACGTACTTACGTAGCATCACCGCGTGATGACATACTCACCTGCACAGAGGACGACCCAGAACAAGGACATTAAGGTTTGACCATTGTGCACTGTCACTCACCGGAACCAAACGGACGAACAGATCGAGTGTGGACAACTAAGCGCATCACTATGACATGATGAGAGCCCAACAATTTAAAGATCTCGCCAAACCGTATCATTCGCATAATGGAAATCAGCTGAAACAGGCAAACCTCAGCATGGGTGAGCTCAAGTTATCGCCAACAGAGCTGGTCATGATTTGACGGAAAAGATGTTACAAGATCTGCTTCAGGCAAGCTTCAAGCACCGAGTCGATTAACTCGGCACCCTCCGTGTAGTGGCCCTTGGCCCAGTTGTTCCTGAAGAAGTGGCGCACGGTGAGTTCCCAAAGAAAGCGTGCAAGCAAGAGCAATATATATATATATATTTATAACACATAAACTGTAAGTTTCAACAAAGGAGCGCTTGGCCTCAGTCATTGCACTGATTTGAGCAAAACAAAACACAAAAGGCAACAAAAGCGTGTGCGGCTGTGTCCCCAAATATAAACAAACAAAGAACACACAACGTAGCATGTATCGCTTCCCAGGCTTTCATTGAAGGCCAGCCAAGAAAGGTTCCCCAAAAAATAAACAGCAACACATGCCAGACAATGAAAACAACATGCCCTCAAAACAACAAACATTAGAGCATGTCAAAAACGGATACCCCTATACACCCAAAGATCCCATGCAACCCTGAAGATGTAAAACATGTGACACCAATATTTGAAACATGCAAAGCCAAACCAAACACATATGCCATGTACACCAAACACACACAACAAAGCAACAACATACATCTGAGTCATAATCAAAACCCGGTATTAAAATGGTGGACCCAGAACCATGTAAATAATTAAGAAGGCAGATATCCGAAGCTATTTATGGTTGGGATTGTCCCTTAGTAACCTTCATCTACCCGGGTTTTGAGCGAGTGGCTCATCTGAAGATGTAAAACATGAAACCAAACCGAAATCACCGAGGTGCCCAGCCCCAGTCTGCCCGAAGACGAAGTTGTCGGGCCGGAAGAGCTGGCCAAAGGGCCCCGCGCGGACACTGTCCATGGTGCCTGCCAGGGTGGGGCGGCCAACTGAAGGGTTTACCTAGCTGGCAGCAACTCACCAGAAGCACCAAGACCAAGAACCAAGAACCAAGCATCAGCAACCAACGACCAACGAACAAACAACACCCAGCAACTTATTTCCACAAGCGCCACCAAAAACGACAGGAACAACCAAGAACCAACAACCAAGCAACCAAACAACAAACAACAAACAACAACCAAAAAATATTGGATCTGCAATGGGAGGCCTTCTCATTTTGACAATGGTCCATCCGGACAGGTTTACTGTTTGTTCCCGCCCTGGAAACCGTTGGGATTGGTTCAAAGAAAAAATCAAGGCAAACACATCGGCCGCCCATGTAACTCATGGCCCCGGCTCCTTGGGGCAACGTAGCCATGAGTTGGGAGCTTCAAACACAACGGGTGGGGTAAACACCCTACCAGGGAAATCGGTTTGAAGGGCCATGAGTTGGGAGATTCAAAGCCCTGAAAACGGATGTAAACACCCTTTTACCAAAAAAGACTCGGCTTGAAGGTTGATGGATGGTCTCCAAGGACATATACCCAACTTTTTGGGGCTCCACGAAACATATCTCAAAACATATCGTTCTTTCCCCGGTTCCCGGGAGGCCGATCATCCGGTTCCGGCCGCAACTCATTTGCAACCCACACCTGGCTCAAGGTCCATCAGCCTTGGGATCGTGCGTATGCCAAAGGTAAATGACTCAATGAGGAGAATCAATTCCTGGGCCTTGTATATAATATGTCCACGGTCCAAACGGCTTGTGGAGAAGATTCCTGAGCAACTTGAGAAGGGGTGGCTCGATTTATCTGGTTGGGGCTCGATCACCATCCACAATCTGAATGAAAAGGGCCTGCTGACCACGGCATACATGTTGACTGGCAGATAAACGACCGCTTGATTCATGGTTTCACGGTCATGGTCATGAAAGCATGCAGACACACCATCAAACTAAGCCAGATAGCAAGCAAGGCAGGGAACATATGTGTTTGGCTGAATATCCAGGGAGAGGCCTTCAAGCTGAACATGGAAAACAAGCGCTTTGGCCAAGCTCCAAACAACTTATAACCAGCTAATTAACATAAAACATCATAAAACAACAGTTAGTTTGCCAAAACAGGTGCTTTTCATTGGGTTCCAAGACAAACAAAAGCAAAACAGCAAAACAAGACATACCGCAAGTTGTCACTTGCCAATCCGCCGTGGGTAAAAAGCCAAGTAGCACCGCGCGTGGCACGTAGCGACCGCCGGTGGCCTCGTTGAAATAGACATTGATGCGTTCCAGCTGCCTAAGGTTGAGTTGCGCAAGGAGCTGCGTGAAACAACTTGCTTCTACACACTTGCTCAACAATCCTACTGGACAGAAAGCAAACACAGTTTGGCAATGTCAGTCGTCAGGAGCAGTGCTGATGCAGAAGCTTCCCAACTGAAGCAGACGCAACCCAGCAACGCGTAAAGAAACGCATAACAACACAATTAGGAACAACGCTAGCAAAGAACAAACTGGATAGAAGCAAATCAGGGAATACGGAAATACGGGAATACGAGAAGGAAGGAAGGAAGGAAGGAAAGAAGGAAGGACGGAAGGACGGAAGGACGAAAGGACGGAAGGACGGAAGGACGGAAGAACGGAAGGAAGGAAGGAAAGAAGGAAGGAAGGAAAGAAGGAAAGAAGGAAGGACGAAAGGACGGAAGGACGGAAGGACGGAAGGACGGAAGGACGGAAGGAAAGAAGCAAGGAAGGAAAGAAGGAAAGAAGGAAGGAAGG